GCCTCACATACCTTCCACCACACTTATATTCTGCTCTTCTTTACCCCCTAAAAGATGGTATACCTCCCTGGCCAGTGCATGAAATTACCGCCTCCCTTTCTTCCTTAACATTTAAAAGTTCCTCAAATATTCTCGCCATCTACCTAATACCTCCCTCTCCCCATCTACTAACTCCCCTACTCTGTTTTAACGACAAATCCATACTTTCCCTAGGCTTTCTTAACTTGTTTAACTCACTCCAAAATTTTTTCTTATTTTCATTAAATTTCTTGACAGTGCCTCTCCCACTCTTCATCTGCTCTCCTTTTGCACTCTCTCACCACTCTCTTCACCTTTCTTTTACTCTCCATATACTCTGCTCTTCTTATAACACTTCGCTTTGTAAAAAACCTCTCGTAAGCTACCTTTTTTTCTTTTAATCACACCCTTTACTTCATCATTCCACCAATCATCTCTCTTTCCCCCCTGCCCCCACCCTCCTATAACACAAACTTCTGCCCCACATTCTAATACTGCATTTTAAAACTATTCCAACCCTCTTCACCCCCCCACTACTCATCTTTGCACTAGCCCACCTTTCTGCCAATAGTCGCTTAATCTCGCCCGAACTTCCTCCTCCCTTAGTTTATACACTTTCACCTCCCTCTTACTTGTTGTTGCCACCTTCCTCTTTTCCATCTACCTCTTACTCTAACTGTAGCTACAACTAAATAATGATCCGATAAATCAGTTGCCCCTCTATAAACATGTACATCCTGGAGCCTAAACCCCTCAACCGTTTTATCCACCAATACATAAAACTAACAACTACTTTCATTACTGCTACATCTACCTTGTATATTTTTTTATCCTCTTTTTCATAAAATATGTATTACTTATTACCAAATTTCTTTCTACACATAGCTCAATTAAAGGCTCCCCATTTACATTTACCCTGGCACCCAAAATTACTACTACTCCCTCCATAACATTTTTACCCACTTTAGCATTGAAATCCCAACCACCATTACTCTCACACTTGATTCAAAACTCCCCACGCATTCACTCAAAATTTTCCAGAATCTCTCTCTCTCTCCTCTACACTTCTCTCTTCTCCAGGTGCATACACGCTTACTATAACCCACTTTTCGATCCAATCTTTATTTTAACTCCACATAATCCTTTGAATTTATACATTGTAGTCCCTCTTTTCTGCATAGCTTATCTTCAACATTATTATCTCCTTCTTTAGCTCTAACTCTATTTGAACCCCTGGGCCTAATCCCATTTATTCCTCTCCATTGAAACTCCCCCCACCCCCTTCGCTTTGTTTCACTTAGCCAGGAAATCCAGTTCTTTCTCATTATAACATCCAACAATCCCTTCTTTCTTATCAATTGCACAACATCCAATGCACAATCAGACTCCACTTGACAATTTTCTTCTTATTCTTTTTAGTAAACTTTCAGGGAAAAAGGGTTACTACCCATTGTTCCCGGCAATTTTAGTTGACCTTATACCCCCCTATAATTTTTGCACTCTCTTTTTATCCGTTTGCCTTTATACAAGGGAACTATGATGCTCTTGCCAATCCTAGGGACCCTTCCTCTCCAACATTTATTAATAATTGCACCAACCACTCCAAAACTATACCCCACCGCTTTAAATTTCCTATTCTTTATCCCACAATCCGGCTGCCTTACCCCTTTCATTTTTTTCTACTGCCTCACAACTTTTCCCCACACTCACAAACTGGCTCTTCCTACTTCCTACAAGATGTGTTCCTCCTTGCCCCTATACCAAAATCACTGCTTCCCTATCTTCATCAACATTTAACAAAATTTCCCCAAAATATTCCCCCATCTTCCCAATACATCTAACACTCCATTTGTAAATCTCCCTCCTATTTTTAACTGACAAATCCATTTGTCTTCTAGGCTTTCTAACTTGTTAATCCTCACTCCAACTTTTTCTTATTTCCAACAAAATTTTGTTAACATCTCACCCACTCTCTCATTTGCTATTTTTTACATTGTTCCCACCCTCTTAACCTCTCTCTTTTTTTTTCCCTATACTTTTACCCTCCTTTCATCCTTCTACTTTGTAAAACTTCTCAATCTACTTTTTCTCCCTTACTGCTCTCTTCACATCATCATTCCACCAACGCTCCTCTTCCCCCCCGCACCCATTTCCTGTAACCACAAACTTCTGGCTTGAAACACTCTAACACTACATTTTTTAAACCTACCCCCATAAACCCCTTCGACCCCCTTGCCTATGCTCTCATTAGCCCATCTATCCTCCAATATCTGTTTATATCTTACCCTAACTGCCTCCTCTTTTAGTTTTATAAACCTTCACCCTCTCTCTTCCCTGATGCTTCTATTCTCCCCTTTTATCCCATCTACCTTTTACTCTCAGTGTAGCTACAACTAGAAAGTGATTTGATATATCTGTGGGCCCCTCTATAAACATGTACATCATGAAGTCTACTCAACAGTCTTTTATCTACCAATACATAATCCAACAAACTCTGTCATTTCGCCCTACATCATATCTTGTATACTTTTTATCCTCTTTTCTTAAAATATGTATTACCTATAACTAAACCCCTTTCTATACAAAGTTCAATCAATGGGCTCCCATTTATCAAATTTACACCTGGCACCCCAAACTTACTACCACACCCTCTCTAAAAGTTTCTCCTACTTTAGCATTCAGGTCCCCTACCACAATTACTCTCTCACTTGATTCAAAGGCTCCTAAAAACTTCACTTAACATCTCCAAAATCTCTCTCTCTCCTCTACATTCCTCTCTTCTCAGGTGCATACACGCTTATTATGACCCACTTCCTCGCATCCAACCTTTACTTTAATCCACAAATTCTTGAATTTACATATTCATATTCTCTTTTCTCCTTCCATAACTGATCATTCAACATTTACTGCACCCTTCCTTTGCTCTAACTCTCTCAGATACTCCAGATTTAATCCCATTTATTTCCCCCCACCGAAACTCCCCTACCCCCCCCTTTAGCTTTGTTTCGCTTAGGGGCCCGGACATCCAACTTCTTTTCATTCATAACATCAGCAATCATCTGTTTCTTGTCATCCGCACTACATCCACGCACCCTTTAACATCCCAGTTTTATAAAGTTTTTCTTCTTCTCTTTTTTAGTAAATGTCTTCAGGAGAAGGGGTTACTAGCCCATTGCTCCCGGCATTTTAGTCGCCTCATACGACACGCATGGCTTACGGAGGAAAGATTCTTTTCCACTTCCCCATGGACAATAGAAGAAATAAAGAGGAACAAGAGCTATTTAGAAAAAGGAGAAAAACCTAGATGTATGTACGTATATATATATGCATGTGCGTGTCTGTGAAGTGTGACCAAAGTGTAAGTAGGAGTAGCAAGATATCCCTGTTATCTAGCGTGCTTATGAGACAGAAAAAGAAACCAGCAATCCCACCATCATGCAAAACAGTTACAGGTTTCTGCTTCACAGTCATCCGGCAGGACGGCAGTACTTTCCTGGGCGGCTGCTGTCTACCAACCTACTACCTGTTTACATGTCTTATTGAATTGGTGGTGGTGTACATAATGCAGCACTACTTGCTCCTGACTGGCCATACATTTTTTCTAGGCATAACAGGATGACAAGACACCTATACAGTTGAGCTGTGACATTGGCTGGCAGCAAATTTGAGGCCTACAAATATTTTGTTTATATACATCATGCACAAAACTGGCCATCTCCAACTGTGGTAGGGTGACCCAAAAGAAGGACACTCATTCACCATCATTTATTTTATCTTTGTCTTACCAGAAATGTGTAGACATTACAATTCAAATTACCCTCTGAAATGCACCATTCCCTCAGAACATAGGCACTGTATTTTCCACATCCAGGATTCAAGCCCAGCTGGCCAGGTTACTTGGATCCCTTCATAAATGTTACTTTGCTCATACTCTAACAGTGCATCAACCCATGAAAATCACTGGTCTTTACTCTCTCCTGTCATGCTTACACAAGCCTTCTGGATGCACGAGTCCCTAGTACTCAAAATCTTCTTTACTTTGTCCCTCCAACGCTTCTTGGAATAACCACTTACCCCTTCTATTTTTGTTAGTCAACTGTTGTGGGTCACAACCTGGCTAGAGGGTGGTAATATACCTTAGAGAGGCTGGGCTTTGAATTTATCTGAGGTAGGAGAACAGTTTTTGCTTGTGAATTTAATTGTGTATAATAAAATGTAGTATAAAACTGTGTCTGTAATTTACTAGTTGAATATGCATTGGTTAAGCTCCAGCTCCTAGACTATTCTTTTTGTAACATACTACATAATTGCTTAATGCAGTTTAGTTTTGTCACATCTACCTTTGGTTTCCTCTATGTGTATGCACATTCATTTATGTATCATCATTCATTATTAAAAATTAGTAGGGGCACAAGTGCCCTGGGTAATTTAACTTACATACACAGTAGTAATACTGTACGTTTTTGGCCCAAACAAGATGCATATACTATTGTGTTTTTCCTTTGATCACTGAAGAATACAAATTGTGACATTTGAATAAAAAAAAGCTGCATGAAAAAGATGTGTAATGGACATAACCTGTGGGCCAGATACAAAACAAATGGGTTAGGTCATTAAGCTATATTTTGTACTGAACATTATTATTGCAAGAGTAGATTCACTAAAATGGCACTGAACATGTCATATCATTAAAGAATGAGTGAATAATGAATCAGTGAACTTTTCTAATGGATTCCAAGATATAAAGACCAAGCAGTAACTGCTTAGATAAAATATGGAAGTTTAAATATGTCAATTTGGAAAGAAAGGCTGATGACAAAGCACTTGAAGTACAAAGTGAGATCTTCATACAGTAGAATCATAGTGTTATTTTAGATTGAATGGCGACCAGAACTGTCTTAACGTGTTAACCTTCCTAAAATTTATTATTGTAAAATGCTGTTTCAGATATTGGACAAATGATGATTATGTATTGTGTTTAGGAAAGCTGGTCTTGCAGTGCTTAAAGAGGCTATCCGTTTGGCTCAAGAAAGTAGTGACCATGTCTGCTTACAACATGCATTAGCCTGGCTCTACACATTATCTCCAACTCATAAGGGTAAAATCTTATCTATTACCATTATGTAATGACATAATTCATAAATTTTGACACATTGCTGTTACCACCAGTTTTAGGGGACCCAAGAAGAAAACTTATCTCTATCACTCAGTTAATAGTTGCTTGCTGAAATGTGCAGACATCACACTATAGAATAATTTGGGGGTGGGGTGGCAATGCGGCAAAATGTCGCAAACAGTGACAACAACATCCCCACCCTTCCTTCAGCAACTGTACTTCCCAACTCCAGGGTTCAAGTCTGGCTAACTAGTTTTCCTGAATTNATCCCTTCTTAACTAATAACTTACTCTTCTCAAACCGCCACCATTACAATCCAACCCATACTTGTCTCCTTGCACTCAGCCATAACACACACATTGATATTCAAAACCCTGCCACTCAAAATCCTTTTCATTCCTTCCCTCTAATTTTTCCTTGGACATTACAGAGGAAAAATAGTTTTAAAAATACTAGTCAGTTTTTTGTTGAATGTTCATTTTTTATTATTTTATTATCACACTGGCCGATTCCCACCAAGGCAGGGTGGCCCGAAAAAGAAAAACTTTCACATCATTTCACTCCCTCATGTCTGCCAGAAGTGTGCCTTTACACTACAGTTTTTAAACGCACAAACTTTTAACACCCTACCTTCACAGAGTGAAGGCATCTATACCTTCCCATCTCCACGACTCAAGTCTCCGGACTGCCGGTTTCCCTGAATCCCTTCATAAATGTTACTTGTGCTAACTCCAACAGCACGTCAAGTATCTAAAAACCATCTGTCTCATTCACTACCTATCAAACACGCTCACGCATGCTTGCTGGAAGTCCAAGCCCCTAGCACACAAAAACTCCTTTACCCCACTTCCCTCCAACCCTTCCTAGGCCGACCCCTTACCCCGCCCTTCCTTCCACTACAGCTGATACCTCTTGAAGTCATTCTGTTTCGCTCCATTCTCTCTATGTCCGAACACTCTCAACAACCTTCCTCAGCCTCTGGACAGCCAGTTTTCGGTAATGCGCACTCCTCCTAACTTCCAAAATACGAATTCTCTGCATTATATTCACACACACATTGCCTCTGAATGACACTCACTGCCTCCCCAGCCTTCTCCTCGCTGCAACATTCATCCACCATGCTTCACACCCATATAAGTGGCGTTGTAAAACTATACTCTCATACAATTCCCCTCTTTGCCCCAAGGACAAAGTTTTTTGTCTCCTCAGACTCCTAAGTGCAACAACTCACTCTTTTTTCCCGCATCAATTCTCTATGATTCGCCTCATCTTTCATAGACCCATCCGACTGAAGGACACACTCCCAAATATAATGAAGTACGTTACCCTCTCCATACGCTCTCTCCCTCAATCTGATATTCATCTTTCATCACCTAATCTTTTTGTTATCTCATAACCTTACTCTTTCTGTATTTACCTTTCATTTTCTACTTTTTGCACACCCTACCAATTCATCCACCAAATCTCTGCAGCTTCTCTTCAGAATCTCCCAAGAGCACAGTGTCATCTGCAAAGTGAGCTGTGACAACTCCACTTTGTGTGTGTTTCTTTATCTATTTAACTCCACGGCTCTTGGCCAAGACCTGCATTTACTTCTCTTAACAACCCCATCTATTAACTCATTAAAACAACCTACGGTGACATCCACAATCCTTGTCTCTAAGGCCTACTTTTACTGGAACGGGGGGGAAAAAAATTTTTCCCTCTTTATTTTACATACTCTAATTGAGCCTCCACATCCTCGTAAAAGCTCTTCACTGCTGATCAGTAACCTACCTTCTACACATACACTTGCATTACATCTGCGCATTGACCCCTATCCACCTGACATACGCCTTTTCCAAAATCAATAAATGCCACCAAAAAACTCTCCTAGCCTTATCTAAATATGTTCAGCTTATCATGGTTTCATGTATACACTGGTCACAACACCCCCTCCCTTTCCTAAAAGCTCCTTGTTCATCTGCTATCCTATTCCTCGTCTTACTCTTAATTCTTTCAATTATAACTTCCATACACACTATACTGGTACATCTGACAGGACTTATCCCCGCTATACATTTTTGCCACTACTCTTTTATCCCCAATGCCTTTTTACAAAGGAACTATGCATGCTATCTGCCAATCCTAGGTACCCTTACCCTCTTCCATACATGTTTTATTACATACTTGCACCAACCTCTTCCACAAACTATATCCCACGCTTTTAACTTTCTATCTTTACCATCAGAATACCCGGCTGCCTTAACCCCTCTTCATTTTACTACTGCCTCACTCGAACTTCCCCCACACTCACTAACTGGTTTCCTCACTTCCTACAAGATGTTATTCTCCTTGCCCTATACACAGAAATCACAGCTTCCCTATCTTCATCAACATTTAACAATTCCTTCAAAATATTCCCTCCTTCTTCCCAATACCTCTAACTCTCATTTAATACTCTCCTCTCTATTTTTACTGACAAATCCATTTGTTCTCTAGGCTTTCTTAATTGTTAATTCACTCAAAACTTTTTCTTATTTTCAACAAATTTTGTTGATAAAATCTCACCCACTCGCACATTTGCTCTCTTTTTAACATTGCTTCACCACTCTCGTAACCTCTCTCTATTTCTCCATATACTCTTCCCTCCTTGCATCACTTCTACTTTGTTAAAAACTTTCATATGCTAACTTTTTTCTCCATTACTACTCTCTTTACATCATCATTCAACCAATCAACTCCTCTTCCCTCCTGCACCACTTTTCTGTAACCACAAACTTTTGCTGATCACTTCTAACTACATTTTAAACCTACCCCATACCTCTTCGACCCCATTGCCTATGCTCTCATTACCCCAAACTATCCTCCAATAGCTGTTTATATCTTACCCTACTGCCTCCTCTTTTAGTTTATAAACCTTCACCCTTCTCTTTTCCCCGATGCTTTTATTTTCCTTGTATCCCATCTACCTTTTACTCTCAGTGTAGCTACAACTAGAAAGTGATCTGATATATCTTGGCCCCCTCTATAAACATGTAATCCTGAAGTCTACTCAACAGTCTTTTATCTACCAATACATAAAACCAACAAACTACTGTCATTTCGCCCTACATCATATCGTGTATACTTTTTTATCCTCTTTTTTCTTAAAATATGTATTACCTTAATAACTAAACCCCTTTCTATACAAAGTTCAATCAAAGGGCTCCCATTATCATTTACCCCCTGGCACCCCAAACTTACCTACCACACCCCCTCTAAAAGTTTCTCCTACTTTAGCATTCAGGTCCCCTACCACAATTACTCTCTCACTTGGTTCAAGGCTCCTATACATTCACTTAACATCTCCCAAAATCCTCTCTCTCCTCTACATTCCTCTCTTTTCCCCGGTGCATACACGCTTTTTATGACCCACTTCTCGCATCCAACCTTTACTTTAATCACATAAATTCTTGAATTTACACATTCATATTCTCTTTTTCTCCTTCCATAACTGATCATTTAACATTACTGCTAACCCCTTTCCCTTTTCTCTAACTCTCTCAGATTTCTCCAGATTTAATCCATTTATTTCCCCCCACTGAAACTCCCCTACCCCCTTCAGCTTTTTTTCACTTAGGGCCAGGACATCCAACTTCTTTTCATTCATAACATCAGCAATCATCTGTTTCTTGTCATCCGCACTACATCCACGCACATTTAAGCATTTAAGCATCATACAATATTTATATTGAGGCAAAAATTGATGCTTCATTACTCTACATTATAGTTTAGTTAAATTTTTATCAAATTTTTATTTGTCCATTGAAAAGATAAAAGTCAAATAAAGGTATGGGTAAAGTTATATGGATGGCAACTCTTGTTTTTAAAATACATAAAACCCTGT